ACATTCCCAACACTGGAAGCACCATATCAGAAAACTGCCAGCATAAAAAAAAAGAAAAAAAAAAAAAAGCCCAGAAATCTCTTACAGAGGATAAATGTCTTCTTGCTCATCACTGCCCTGCACTGAAACACAGGCAGAGACATGGCAAGGTGCGTGGAGAGCGCTCTGTCCCTAGCACACTACAGCTCGTGTCCCCGGCAATCTTCTTGTAAGCACTATTAATACACTAGGGATGCCCACAAAGCACTAGCATTACATCCAGAACATCGTTCCAAAGAATCTTGCCTTTCCCCTAGTCACTTGGAAAGCTGGAAGTAAAAGGTGAGTTAAAGTAACTCGCTTTAGATCAAACTAGACTACTTTTGCTCAGTGAGAGGGGCTAATTTGCTAGCTTTGCTTCTGGCTGTTAGGAGATGATGTCTATTAATTTTAAATGAAACAATCCCAGGAAAAGCAACTTGAATGAATAAATGGGGTTCTGCTAAGTAACAGGGACAAAGAACAGGCCTGGATCCTGAATCTTTTTCTTCAAGTCTCTGAAATAGTCTGAGGGGCTCCCAGCTTCTCCTCCTTGTGAGGTGTACAAACAGCTCCTTCCCTCCTGCCAGCAAAGCAGGCAGGAAACAGCTCCTCGTGGTGCTTCCAAGTCAGGTTTTCTGCTTCGTTTGCTTCCTCCTGCCTCACAGGCAGGAGGCTGATATGGGCAGAGTTAGCCCAGCTGGAGAGGAGGGAGAATGGAATGAAGCACAACACTGGAGAGAGACACCATCTGGTATCAACTCTGTAAATGCTTCTGCAAAGTGTTGAAAATGGAACCATTTAAAGCCAGAGCTTTCAACAACATGTCTTATGTGAAGAGCTGAAAGGGACTCCCTGAAGCAGTGCCACAATAACTGGAAAAAGGAAGTACAGTACCTTCTCTGGTGGGTATGAGAAGTGGGAGAACACTGTACCTACCTACCTTGGAAGCAAGTAAACTGTTGATTTTTGCTTGCCCCTCATTCTGCCCCTGGACAAAAGTGATTGCATCTGCATTTTTTAATTACTCACATCACCCAGGAGCTGTTAAGACCTAGCATCTTTCCCATTGCTAAGGAGCTTTTTCTTTTTCCTTGAGAAAAGCAGAGTGTGCAAAGTTTTCAGGTGTTTTTCCCTTCCAAGCTCCCACTTAAGACCCTTTTCCGCAAGAGCATCCACATCTGTTCATCTCCAAACTCCATTTGCTGCCTGATAACACCCAGCCAGAAAGGGCATGCAAGGGCAGCAGTATTTCTGGCTACATCCCATTTATCAAGGAAAGAACAGGACAGAAACATTGTGTCCTCTCCTCTCTGACCTCCACCTTCTTAATCTCAAAGACAGTGAAACAAATACATTGCAAGATCAGGTATGGAATGGGATTTCCAGCTACACAGGTTCAGCTCTACCCACCTGAACAGACTAATGCTCCAAATGACAGCCAGAACAGTTGGCTTTACTTAAGTTCTAATATTTCAAACCTATGTGATTTAAGAAAAAAGAAGTGAGAAATTTTGCTCCGTAAAAGTCTCCCTGAGGCTGATTGCCCCTGGCAGTGGTGGTCACCTGCTGCAGGTCCTACACTGGGAGGTTTGTTGTCACAGCTTCTCTTCTGCAGCATGAGTCTCACCAAGAGCACTCGACAACCATCGTGTGGCTGGCACATGCTCCCACTGGAAGACGATGAGACAATCACGCTTTGCTCCTCCCATCTCACCATTTCAGAAAACGCAGCAGAGTCACCATGGAGGATCACAAGATTTTACAGTAAGTGTCAGCACCCCATGATGAACAGGAGAGCTGCTGAGTGTCAGTATCACCCTCCAGGCATGTGATCCTTCTTGGGAGTGGTTCAGATGGCAACCAGGAATGGAAACTAAGAATTTTAGAAGAAAGGGACTTAACTGAGGTAATTTTACATGCATCTACAGTCAGGTAACCTGTAATCAAGAAGCCAGCTGTAACATTACAAAGATATTTCTGCACCCCCTTCTATCATTGCTCCCTGACAACAGAACATCTCCTTCAAGGGGTAAAGTCGTCCTCAATCTTGTTTTCCTGGAAGTAAATGAGTCCTAGAAACACTGGTCCTCCCCCAAGGCTATTTCAGCGAGTGGAAATCTTTCGATTGACCTTGATGAAGGTATTGTTTCTTTAACTGGTACGAAGCTCTTCATTTAGGGAAACCACCAACTGCCGGGACACATTAGCACTGGGTCCTGGTCCTGCCAGGCAAGTCTCAACAACAGATTAACACCCTTGCAGGGAGCCCCAGTGACCATAATACACATCCTACTCAAGTGCCACCCTAGAGGATGGGAGCCCACTTTCCTTATCCACTATAAAGCCCTTCTAAATGAAATGGGTATTTTGGCAAATTAATTTTATTCAAAAGGAACCAAAAAGAAAACCCCAAGAGAGGAAAAACAAGACAGAAAGTGCTCTAGGATGATGCTTTTTAATTGTTATTTTTATACCTTTAAAAACAAATCAAACCATTAAAAACATTATAGACATGTGCTGAAATTTCCTGTACAACAGATATGAAAACAATAAAATTTGTACATCATTTCAAGATATTGAACAGTCACTTATTTGAAACACATCAACTTTTCCCTTCTTAAGCAGGCCCCAAATGGAAAAAAAAAAAAAAAAAGTAGAACAGAAATGCAGGAGACGTAACTGCCACACAGTGGAGCTTTCAGCCTGAAAAGCACATCGCTTTAGATAAGCAACAGTGAGAAAAAACACTGACCAAAGAGACAAATCTTGGCAATTATAAACACAGAGAACATCAGAAGGCAGGGAAAAAATATTTGCAGGAATTCAAGTCTTGACCAAGACAGATCCACAAGGTAGTAGAGCATTACCTGTAACCTCCCTCTTCCTGCAGAGATACCCTGTGAGGCATGCCCGACTTACTCACATCAACACTATGGCCAACTTTATGTTTACAACATTTTAAACCTTACCAACTTCTTCCACCTATACCTGGGATCCGCAGGTCATTTACTTCAAACGTCAGTCTCTTCTCACAATGAGTTGGTTTTGGGAAAACACAGTTGTATTAAAAATGGATACTCATTAGATGACACGAGAGAATTTGGCACCTGCTTCCAACATCAAAACAATGGGACAGATACGTTTGTCTTCTATAAGACTATCTGGGTGTTGGTTAGGCAGAAACACATACCATTCTAGCTAGTTTTCTGATGTTCTGCTGCAATATAATGCAAACACATGACCTAGCATAGAAGATTCATCTCCCTCTCTTCAGTGCTATACAAAACAAGGGCCTTCTGAAGCAAGAGAGAATTCACGACCCTAAGGCAGCAAGTTGTTGGGAGACCTGGAAAAATGCATACTGGCTCTGTGCTCTGCACAGATGTGCAGTAATTAAAAGAAGAAAAAAAAAAACCAAAAAACATGACTGTAAGGGGCAGACTTTCCTCCCTCCCAGCTCCTTTGGAATGGTTCTGTTTGGTCCAAGTGGTTTATCTTTGTTTGTCATCTGACAGCAGCTTAGGAAGAACACTGGGTGAGAGATCCACTATGTGGACTGCCAGTTTGGATGGAGTTGGGCAGGATCATTAACCTCGTGGGTTTTTTTTAAATTTATTTTTTTAAAAGTATTTCAGAGAAAGAGAGGAAAAAAAAAGATATTCAAGAACCCACAAGTGGCTGCTACAAAAAAAAAAAAAAAAACAAACCAAACCAAAAAAACCCACCCAAAGCTGAAGCACTCTGTGGTTTGTCCTCCAGTTTTGCTCACACACAGCACACCACAATTTCACACCAGGCTGTAAAAAATTCCTCTGGATATCTGTAAAGTTACAGTTGTGCACCAGGAATTCCTACATTTTCCTTCAGCTGACAGTGAACTCTGCAAGGTTGCCAGGTTCCACTGTAATGCCACATATACTCCTAGTATCTGTAGCTTTTTCTGACAACTCTGCTACAACAAACCAACCCCCCCCAAACAAAAAAAAAAGCAGCAGAATTCCAGGGACTCTGGTTATTAAACCTTCATAAGATTTTCACTGCTTTATAGCTATTCTATAGCATTATTCATAAACTTCATATTCGTCTGCAATGCAACCAGTGCAATGATCCGAAGACCAAAAGACACCCCCCACCCCCCCAGCTACTGTAGAAGTCCTTCATTGGTAATGCCTTCGTAAGTCTAACAGTTATGTACCAGCAAAATAAATCCAATCTAATCCTTGACTTGTAAAATCAGCAACTAGGGGTTTTCTGCTTGTTTGTTCTCTTTTTAAAAGAACCAGTTGAAACGACAGCAGCAGTATATTGCAAATAATTATAAAACAACTACTTTAGATCAATGAGATGTAGGCAGGTAAGATGTGTCTCAGTTTTGAATGGCTAAAAAAACCGAAAAATTGGTCTTTAGAGCAGAATTTTATGCAATTTGTTTTGGTAGAAACAATAAAGCCAGTCAATCTGTTTGGGAGTGCTTGGACACTTGGAACCTTAGTTTTGACATTTTCACAGATTTATATATTTGAGGAAAACCAACAATGATAAAAAGACACCAACCTGAGTAAAACTCTATTAGAATAGAGTGATCATTATTCAGTAAATCATATATTGCACCTTTAAATAAATCATTATAAATTGTATAAAAACAGGAGTATCAGCCAGGAACAGGGAGGAGCTATTCTGTCCTTCATACACACCCCCACACGCCCCCGCACACACATTCACATATTCACTTGCTCAGTTTTTTTCCTATAGTTAAAGCTCAGAGTGGCAGACCGCACTCCTTTTCCTCTAGCAGAGGCACCGAAACATTAAGGCAGGGGATATTTGTGGTGAAATGCAAAAACAAAGCTCACCTCCAAACTTCTGGACAGTCCTGCCAACAGTGCAACTACAGTTAAGTTTGACATAAGCCTTATTTAAAAATCTGTGTTCTCATTAAGAGTTTCAGTACAAAAATAGAATCTCTGCTGTTTTTTTTCTAGAGTAGCAACTAGAAAAGGCACAATTTCCAAGTATAAATGTCCATTTGAAGGAGCTGTTTGTACTCCTTTTCTTTAAATAAAAAGGAACACAGAAAAAAAAAAAACAATCACAGAGGCACATATCTATTAGCTAAGTAACCAGATACAGTAGATAAAATATGTTCCTGAAACTTATAATTAAATATATTAAAACAGCCCACAAGCCTGGTGCCTGTAAATGAAATCATATAAAGTTGTAATAAAAAGCTTGTGTTATTAATATTTAAATTCTAGTTCACCATTCATACTGCAAATGCTATTTCACCTATCAGTACTGTTAAATTCCCAAGAAAAAGCAAGATTCCTCTGTTAACTTTAAAGAGTTTTCCTTGGTTTTTTTTGTTTTGTTTCGTTTCTTTTTTTTTTTAAATACCAATTTGTGGCTCCTCTGCCAGCATTGTGTAGATCACATCTTCGAACATGGACAGAACTGGAGAAGCCAGACATGAGACACTGCACACGATCCCGGAAAACATGAGTAGAACATCTCCCTTTCCTATGCGCAGCTAACACCTCCTGAGACACTGTGCTCCTTCCAGGCTATGCGTGGTAGCCATTCGCCTTCCCAAAGCCTGGCCCAGGTGTGAAGTTTTCATAGATTGCCATTGCTGTCATGTTTTGGTAAATAAGATCGGTTTTCTTGTCTTTCTGGGATCTAATAATATCCATAACACACTGGTTTAGGAAGACATACTGGTCCTGATGGGAGAAAAAGAGAGGGTAATACATTTCTAGAAAATACCAGATTTTGGAATTAATTCTGCTCCTGAATATAGGCTTTGGATGCACTGCACTGAATGTTATCAGAGTATTTTTTAGAAGTTGTATGTATAGTTCATAGAAAATAGGGCTGGAAAGAACCTCATGATGTCATCTGATCAACCCCTTGTAAAAAACCAGGATCAAATTTACTGTCATACCTAACACCCTCTTAAAAGACTTTCACGATGGAGATTTTACAGCCTTCTTCAAATCAGCTTAAGTTAATCCACACAAATTTTGGATCAAAGTGATAATTTCAGCAGGAACATGTATGTTCCTGTAGAACACCAAAGAAAAGATGCACACCGAGACCACTTGACTCAAGACAATTCTGGCTCATAGCTATAAGGACAAAACTCACACGGGTAAAACAAGCTGCAATAAAAACTTTTCCAGATTTTGATTCTTTCCAGCTGCAAATGTCAGTCCTACAAAGTACTCTGCAAAGAGATTGATTGGACATACTACGGTCCCTGGCTGCAACTACTATTGTGGGAAGAGATGAGGCAGGAAGAAGGGAAGTTAAATAAAGGCAATTTCAGATTGCTCCTTAAGTATCTTATCTTCCTGTAATTCTGAGCTACATCTTGAGTCCACCCTTCCTGGATTATTACACACATTTGAAAAACATGCTGCTGGATGAAAGACAGCCTTACCTCAGTTTGCACCATTAAAGGTCGGTGCATGCGAAGATCATACACCACTCCGTATACATCCACAGTATTCTCCATTTCAATCTGCTGAATCAGGCGGTCAATGGCAATGAACGTCCCTGTCCTCCCAACACCAGCACTGCAATGACATGGGGAAGCTATTTACTGCTTTCTCTCAACCACCTGCTCACTCACCAGTGGCCTGATGAAAAGCCAGTGAAGCTAGTAAGATGCTTTCTATTCTTTCAGTGGCATAGGTATTAAAAGCCTCTGCAGCCCAGACAGGTGGTTCTTACCAAGAGGGAGGGAGGACGTGCTTCTAGGCTTCCCAGCCTTGAAGGTGCACAAGATTACATATAAAAGCACTTGAAAAGGCAACTTTTTCAGCTAAGTTTGCCAGGCTAGGAGAGACTGTCTATTCTAATGAAATTTTGTATCACATACTTTGCTACCTACATAGCATTGCTACCTTTCTGAATCAGGGGGCAAAGGTTTTAATTTGGCAGGGTGAATAGCCCCTGTCCTTAAGCAAAGAAACTTTTTTCTTTCCTTTTTTTTGTTCTTGTTTTTTTAAATCACATTGAAAAAGAATTGTTCTTAAAAAAGCCGTAAGATAAAAGTGTGTCTAACACAAACACGTTCTTCCTACCTGCAGTGCACCAGAGTAGGAGAGTCGATTGGATTTTGACTGCTGTACTCATGAACAAGGTGTCTAAAGTTGATGAGAAGATCTGTTGTCTCCGGCACTCCATGATCTGGCCAGGAGGTGAAGTGGAACTGGCGCACCGTGTGGCTCTCTGGTGTGTCGGACTAGAAGAATACACATGAAAAAAAAAAAAACCCCCAAAATAAAAAAACCCAAACAAAACACAAAAACCGGCTTCAGAGGAGCAACAGTAGGGCTTCCTGCTGTGGGTACTGGGCAAAGCTCAGCTTCATTAAAGATGCCTGTTACAAAGCGTGCAGTAATTTGACCAATGATATTTCAATTTCCCTCTTCCTTCTGCTCTGGTAGAGAATACTTTGAAATAATTTCCATTTACTTTTCACTTTACTCCAAGATCATCTCTGCTGCATTACATTTGCTGACAGAGATGGGGCTGTTTGGTCTACCAGGTATCACAAGTACCTGCACAAGCACAAGTTTTGGTGCAAGTCTCAGGGAAACATGAGCTGCAGGATCGCTGACGGGGCAATCAGTAATTCCCATTGGCAGGCTGGATTTTGCTGGCAGATCTCTTTCTGCCACAGGGAGGGTCTTACTGACAACTCATTCCCACCTCTGGCTACGTTACTAAAACACTGTTGTGAGAAGCCAGAGCATATGAACAAATGCATACACATAAATATCGCAGGAATCTTCTTGTCAGTAAGTAGCGTGAAAGATTTTAAATCGCGCTTTTAGCAGAAAGCAGACCAATACATTCAAAGCCTCAAATTAAAATAAACCACTCTTATCCTTTTCCCTCAGATAACTTTGAATTTGATTAAGTTTTAGTGAAATTATTATATTCTGTCACTCCAGTGTTTCTTGACATGTGAAGTCACAGTGATGTGATAAACCACTTCTACAGATATTTATACACTAACAACTAACAACCGAGGGGGTACGCACCTTTTCTACAGTGAAGTCCCTTATTGTCCATTCTGGAAGGACAATCTCTGACACCATTGTCACAATAATGTCACCATAGCTCTTGGATTGTTTGTCTGGCCAGTATTGCTCACATTTTGTCTAAGAAGAGAGTTACAAGGTTAGACACACAGCAATGAAGCAACTGACTGTTAGTTTTAAATAACACACCACCTGACGCAGGGCTAGAAAACACGTCACCCTTCCCAATGGCCTAACCCAGGGCAGGAGAAGCTCTACCAAGATCATTCTTTAGGGAGAAGAACCCACCCTTAAAGATAGCAATACCACAACCCTCCTGAGACAAGCTATTCTGGTAGTCAGCAGATATAAAAATGGGAAAAAGCTTAAAAAAAAATAATTTGGCTTATTTAATTCAGAAAACAGTCTTCCAGTAAGTGGATGGCTGTTAAAAGAAAGTGGTCAGTCTCCAACCTACTAGGGCAACAACAAAATTAGAAGAGATCCAACCATCTTCAAGAGATAGTTCAGTTTTAATAAAAACATACCCGGGCTTGTTCAACACATTTTGTCAACATAACAATAGAGTAGATATTCTTCTCCCAAATCATGCGCCAGAAGTCTTCTATAGTATTGGGTAAAGGACCCTGTGCAGCAATAAATGCCTTCTTTGAGTTATAGCCCTAAGAAGGTAAAAAAATAAAGAGAAGAAAAAAAAATAAATATCACACACACATGTGCATCAATGAGACAGAAAAAGCCCATTTTGAACATCATTATGAGCTGTTAAGCCTACATCATAAAAATACACATTATATTTCATTTCAACTAATGAAGCAACTTACAGGCATATAGTTTGCATTAATATAATCATCAGTTGCAGAGCTTTGATCTGAAAGTTTAACACGAGAAATATCATCTGCAGAAAGAAAAAAAGAAAAGAAAATTATGCATTTTAGAACCAGAACCTTTCAGCAAAATACTGCTTATCTAATGCATGGTTTCTGAATGAAAGGTGTTTTAGAACAATGTGCATTTTAGGAATAAGAATATAACTTTAGGAATCATAAATAGCAGTAGTTTAGAATTTTTATAATGAAAGCCTTCAGAAAAATGAGTAGCCAGGATAAAGATTCAGAATATTCAACACAGGTTTTTTGGGTTTGTTTTGGGTTTTTTTCCTCTTTTTTTAAAACTTGGTTTGGCTTTGCATATCTGTATATTTTTAAGCCAACACAAAACTATGATTTTCATTACTGGAGAAAAATAGGTAATTTGTCTCCAGCTGCCATTGCAGCTAATGTTTTTCCTCCAAAGCACCCCCAAGTACCTGTCACTGTTCGCCTTCCAATTCCCTCTTACACTCTGCTATGTTGGGATGCCCACAGACAACTTGGCAGGGCTTCAGGTCTCAGTTCATCTGCAAAGCTGGCCAGCAAGGTCTTAATATTTCTCATCGCTCTGCACATCTATCTGTCTGTAGTCAACTGTTAACCTCTTGCTTTTTCAGTCTAGACTGCAAATTTCTCACAAATGGAAAACTAAAATTATTTAATTAAGGGTAAAGTTCTTTAAGGAGCTTTCTTGAGGGAAATTTTGGGAACTTTAGGGAACATTCTTGAGGGAAAGCTCTTTAGGTTTGCTTATACAGTGATTTTGGGAAAGCAGCAGCCCAAATTCATTCATTTGGAAATTGACAACATTAATCCCTCTTTGAAACCTCTGGGTACTATTAAAGCCAAATTAGCCAAACCCAAGGTTTTTCACCTAAAATCTCAACCAGTAGAAGATGCAAAACCAAAGAGAGTAACTCACATGGTAAGACGTTGTTGTATCTATTTTTTCCCCTGTTCTCAGCAAGTTCAGCAGCAAATTTGGGCTGATGAACACCAGCAGACTTGAGTTCCTACAATGAAAGGATTCATTAGCATCTGGTCCTGGTTTAGGAATCATACAGAAACACATGACTGAAACAAACAATACTCCACTCTTGGACTTTGCTGTAAAAGTAAGCATGTCAAACTGGGATAAAAGATGATAGAAATCATCTTTTACAGAGTGGGAGGGTGACAGTGGCAAACCTGATAGAGAAGGGATTAATATAGCTTGTAAGAATAGTTGCGTGTTTAAAACCCAGAGATGGACTTTAAAAGCCCAGAAACAGTTTTGCAGAAATATGTGACACTGACATCAACGGTGCACCCGTTCTGACCCCAAGGCAGTGAACTACTTGGCATAAGCTTTGCAGACATTTCAGGGAGAAAGGGAGCAAACACATCATGAAAAGACTGAAGGAAGCAAAATCTGAGAGGCAGGCAAGGTGGAGCACTAGCCTGCAAAGTACAATCAAAGGGAGAGAATTTGATCTGGAAAGAAGAAAGTCAATTAACAGCTTCAAGGAGATGAAAAAAAACCCAGATTCTTTAACAGCAGACATGACAAGACAGAATCCTTACTGACACTTGATTCCTGTCTTTTGTACCTTATAACAATTGAGCTTTAGTACATTTCATAGAAAAACATTTATGGTCACTAAGCAAATGATAATTGCCATTTTTCTGACTGCTCCTTTGAGCTATTCACAGGTGCGGTTTGCAAATCGCACCTATGCACTGAGGTAGTCAGTGATATTAGCGAGAGACCTGTCTTGCTGTGTAGAAAAACAAAAAACAGATAAAAAACCCAAAGTGCAGAGAAGTTAAAGAGCTTTCCCTAGGCTAACTCTGTAGTGCGACTAGGGAAGGGACTCAGGAGATCCTGTCTCTGGTGAGAGCTCTGATCAGCAGGCCATGCTATAAGCTCACAGGTAGAGATAATAGTTCAGGATATGAAGTATTTATCATGCGCTTCAACTAAATTTGAAGCTGAATCAGGGAAGGGAAGGCTACACATGAGGCTTAATAATCTCTGTAATAAAGGTCCCTTCTCTTCCCCTTCAGTAAGCCTCCCGTATGCTCCATAGGAAAGCTAATTTGCCTTTCCAAAAATATTTATCATGAAGCTCTCTCCACTGAAGGCACATACCTCATACTCTTCAGCAAAACCACAGTTGGAGTCAGCTTGCTGCTTCTTAAAGTAGGACTCAAAGTTCTCTACCTTAATCATTTTTGATCTAAAATGAGAAAAGCCATGTATTGGTAACTAGTATTAGGTAAATAAACCATGAATTCAGTTCATGTGTTAGAAAGTATGCTTTACTTACTTCTTGATTCTTCAGGGGAGGGTGGGGGGGAAGAAAAAGAGGTTGATTAGACACATGCAGCTGTATTTTTCACTATGTGAATCTAAGAATGAAAGCATGACTGTTAGTAGCAGCCACAAAACTGCATTTTACAGGGGACAGGATATCAAGCATAGTATTTAACTGATCTGTTAAACCAAGGAGAGATTAGTGCATCCTTCAGGAGAAGAATATCACAGAAGGTGGCAGTCAGCTGCTTCTGTACTGCCATCACTTTGGCCCCATTCCCTGATGTATTTTACGTCAACTATCAAAGTCTACACAGGTGGGACTTCATGGAATGCTCCAGCCATGCCTTTCCATCAGCACAAGAACTGGTGCAAGAACCAATACTGTGATTCAACTGCACTGCCTGTGACTTCCAATATATTGTGGTTACCCTCCCATGGCCAGATTTTACAATCCCAACATTATCCAAATTAATGGCTCGGCGCAAAGTAGTCATAAAGCAAAGGAAAATTCAGGCCACAGTGCAGAATTTTGCCTATGTGCACTTTATCAACAATTTGGGTTGTCTCCTCAATGTGCGCAGAAGCCTGCATTTCATTCAAACATCCTGTTTTTCAAAACTACATGGACCATTTGTGTGTCTAATAGCGATTCATGAAGCAAGCACTCCAATCCCTGTGGCAGCTCTAAAAGTCTCGATCAATGTGATTACTTTTAGTCTGCAGGCTGGAGTCTTTAAATTCCATGACGAATTAATACTGCAAAATTCTACACAAACTGTACAGAAAACAAGTATCAGGATTCAGAGTAAGTTCTGCAAATATCACTTAAGCCCAGAAAACAATGTGTGAAAGGATATGGACTTACTTAATTGGAGAAAAGGACACTTCAGTATTTCTTTTATCTTTCCTATAAGGCGAAAGAAAACAACACAATAGGTTCACAGTAGAATTTAATGGAATGCATATCAGATTTCTGACAACAGCTATTTCCTGTGCCTGTTCAGAACAATTTCTTTTAAAGCATCTTATTCTGTGAAAAAAAACAACCTCCTGAGGCAAACCTTACACCTGGAGTAAGAATAAAATACTTCATCCTTCATTCAGTGATGCTGTGCAACGGGACTGTTTCTTTCTGTTGGAACCACAGTATAATGCCTGAACACAAAGCACAAAGTCTGGTGGAAGAAGTACATCTGAGGGATCTGCATCGCTAGGTAACAGGAGAACTGCTACTAATCCCAGAATCCCTATAGTAAGTGTTCAACAGTGATGTGTCAGTGGTACTGAAAGTGGTAGTTAAATGAAAATAAGCATTCCTAGCTTTAAAGGAAGCTCTTCTCATTATTGTCCACAGCTATCAGACATGCTTGTAAAACCAACAGCAGTTAATCAAAGAAACTAAGAAAACTGGACTAAGGGCCCTACAGCTAACTCTTTGCATGACCAGAAACAGGACAAAGCCTTTGTGAACTCTTAAGTCCCATATTATTTGGAAAAGATTGGAAACTGAGAGACCAGCTCAAACCCTAGGCAACTCATCAACTTCTGGAAGCTCCAGAATGGAAGTTTCATGTGACAGGCCATCAAGCAATTAAACAGCACGATTAATGGATAATTTAAAATAAAACCATCTAAGATACAATTACATATGTCTTTTAGCACAATAATTTGTGTTGCTTGCTCACTTCTGACTGAATTACTTTATCAGCATGCATGGATTCAGAAGAGCTAAACAAAACAAATCTTAACTTATTAGTCTGTAACTATGGAGTTGAACAAAGTCATTTAACTAGTTTGATACATTATCTCTAATCTGTAACATACAAACAAGATTTTTAATAGAATGTATTTTAAAGCATCGTGACAGAAATGTATAAAACAGAAAGAGGCCTTTTTAGTAGAAAGATACAGAAGTGAAATACTGGTGTTCCTCATCACAACAAATACAATGATGAACATACATTACCTTCTCTTTCTCCAGAATATGAAACCCCCTATAGTGACTACAGCCAATATAGCTAAAAGGCATCCAATAACGGCTCCAGCAATAACACCTGATAAAAGAGAACACATATTACTCATTACTGATTTACTTCTTTGGTAATGATCTAACTCGATCAATGTGCTAAAAGAGAACCTCGCAAGTGACAGAGCACACTTCGCTCTACTAAACTTCTTTTCTTTACTGGGTCCTTTGGCAGCACCAGTATTGAAAGCGCATTAAGAATAATAAATCAAAGATGATAAATAAACAAAAAATTGGCATCAAAGGACCAGTATTTGCATTCCAATACACCTGCTTCCAACTTACCAGAACTGTTAGAACATCAGCTGCTTTTTGCCACTTGTTTCTGTTCCAAAGTCTTGCTGTGCCATCCAATCCCTTTTAGCATGCCATGAGTAGCACAGCTTTTGGTTACTTCCACAGTGGAAGTCATACATGGAAAAAGGTCACCCACAGAACTAGCGAGGTATAAATTTACAGAGCAGTGCAAAGCTAGAAAGAAACAGTCCATCACAGAGAAACCAATGTGCGTTTTGCTGTTATGAAATTTGCCATAATTAAGGAATCTCTGCACACTGCGTATGTGCCAAGCCGCTAGTTCTATACTTGACATTAACTATACCTGGATCCTGGGGTAGCAAAACCGCCTCAGAACAGGGTGAAAATGATACATAACTATCTTCTTCCGCAATGATGTTGCCCATAGTAAAGGTTATATTAGTGAAACCTGCAACACTTGCCCTGTTGATAAGGGAGAAGAAAAAAAAACCAAAACAACAAACCACAGGTACATTACATGGTTTTAACAGCCTTAAGCAAGATCTGTAATCTTTTCATTAGATGATCTTTTAGATTCCAACTGCAGCAAAATTAACCAAACAGTGGTTTGAAATAAATACCTGTATGAATGAAGTGGAATCAATGGTCCGTTTTCGTAGCCATACATTGTGTTTCCCTTGCCAACATTAACGACATTTGTACCATTCTGAGAATGGAAAGAAGGTGATTTTGCCTGCTCTGTATCTATGACATATGTTACATAGGTGACTGTCATCTTCTTCTTGAAATCTTTGTATGTGTTCTTCAATTTAGACTTCAAAGACCCACAACCTTCAGGAAAAAACAAGGATATATGTGGAATATATCATCCACTGATTTTGTATCAATTGGCACAGTGGCTGAGATGGTCACATTAACCACAGTTATTACTCCATAAATACTGCTTGAAATGAAAAGCTGAGTGCAACAGACAATCTCAGAAGTCTCTTGTACTGCAATGCAATCTACTGAACTACCTCCCTGCTCCCCAGTTGTACTTGGTTTAATCTCCTTTTGGTTTTACTTCTACCACGTATAGTGGAGCTTCTCTGTAAAGGTACATTAGTGGTGGATTCTGGTGTCCTCGTGGACAGCCTTCACTAGACAAGTCAGTCATAACCATATGTACTCTATCAATTATCATATGTAAAGAGTGCAAACAGTGTAGAAAAAGTCAGCTGGTATTTGGTAACGTTGTGCCACCCGAACAGCATCAAGCCTCATTCAGGGTGACACCAAACTCGTCCTGAACTATACTTCCTTGCTGTGTCTTACACGAAGTCTCACACCGAAACCCTAAGAGATGAAAGAGTTAATTTCTGCCTTTTCTTGACATAGACAAGCATTGGACAAAACAGTGATCAGAACAGTTTCTCTTCCAGAAGACTGAGAAAAAGAGGCTACTGCAGTCAAACAGTGACTAACAGGACACCATCTGCAGAACAGCATCACTTCACAGTGTCTGTTGTTAGAAGATGAACCTCAGAAACCTGAGGCAGCTTATACAGTTGAGGCATATCTGACCTAAGAGGTAACAAACAAGCTCAAATTACCAGTTGTCCAACAACTCAAGAAGTGAGCAAACTGACATAAATATTCAAAGTGCTGCAGGAGGAGGAAGAATCTTGCTCATTTGACTGAAGTTTGTATACATTGCTCTCTACTGACTGCCTTTACAAAGCTAAAAGCTCCTTATAAAAGCAAATATAGTATTGAATTCACCTTTAAAAAGGAGAAGCCTTGCAGGAACTCTGAAAAGTGGAAAAGCTCTAGTAAGTTTTCTACAGTTGTGTAGACAAGGTTTGATCAGCCACCAACAGCAAAGCTCTCATCAACTGTAACTGTGCAGGAACAGGGTGCAAGACAGCTCTTCTAAACCACTAGTTTGGTTACATTAAAAGCAGCTGAGGTCGCAATTAACTCAGTTGCCTAGAAACAGGCGTTCAGTACTATCTGAGATACATTATATGTCCTGTCTGGTCCCTAGTTTCCATTCCAAAAGGATGGACATCCCAGGTTATATCTGCAGCTCTTTGTGGATCTCTTGGGTATCACCCTAGGAGATCTCAAACAGCCGTAGACACCATAGCTTACACTATTCAATAAAGTCCCCTGTCTATCCTAAAGGTAACGATGTCTGTTTTAAGACAGAAAACCACATTTCAAGCATTTTAATGCTATTTCAACACTATAAAGCTGACGTAATGCTTGCCTGTACTGATGGTTTTTTGTTCCTATCGAAGCACTCAGACTATATTATAAATACAGGCAATCTTCCTTCCTTATTTCTCTCAATCACATCTTGAAACTCCTCTTCCTTGAATACCTTGCAATCAAACCCACACTGAAGAACACACTGAATTTCATCAAGACTAAACAGGACTTGCTGAAGGTACAAGCAGAGCTGTTGCTGCATGCAAGAGATTGACATTCAAATCAGCAACTCTGGGGCAGCTACGTAGATGTGAAAAATAGGAATTTTCTGCACTGGTGTACTACATATCCATATACGTAGGCATTTCTTGGACATATGTTGTATGGAAAACCACAGAAGAAAGATCTACAGTCAAAATGCTGCAAGATGAATTTCCAGTGTTAAGACAAAGGATAAGCATGAGTGTCAAATCTCACATGGGGAAAACTATCTCCATCAGCTGCTTTATTCCTCCAGCGCACTGGCAGAAATTAAAAGTTGTTCGACTAGAACCTACACTGCGAAGGTAAGTTCCTTAATTTTATGATTTATCACTAGACATCCACCAATTAAAGACATTTCTCTGTTTTGATGCTTTAAAGAGGTGAGTTTGATAGACTACCCTCTAGCTTTCCATGGCGTTCAACCTCCCTTGGCATGTAATGCTGACAATGCTTTTCAAGCCTTCCACCTGCATGCCATCTCGCTCAGTTAATAAAGTGCTTGAAGTAAAATCAGAAGGAAAGCTCTCTTCCTTTAAGATCTCACTGCAGGTATCTTCCAGCTGAAGAAGGGAGTGGGGAAACATCCCACATTCCAAAGTTACTTATATTAGTAACTCTGAAAATTATTCTGTGGGAGAAAAAAAGGATACTACACAATCTTGTGGCAGAAACCAGTGGCAAATTAAGATGACAACAGCACAGTGGCAATATGTAGGAGACTTATACAAGGATAAGTCAGGCTGGAAAAGGCTGAGTGAAAACAGTGGCCTTCTGAAAACAAGGAGGGATCTGACTTCAAGCAAGTGAGGCATTTGCTTCGTGATTTTTGAAAGGTGATTGAAAATACCGAGTCAGCTTTTTCTCTATCCATTTAACACCTATTTAGAGTTTAAAACATAATGTTGTTTGATAAATTGTTTCACACAGCTACAAGATAATATCAACATCTTACCTTGTTCTTCTGTTATGATCATTACTGCATAGGCTTTTAATGGTCCATTCACTGACTCAAAATCAGAGAATTCCACAGACAATGAGCTGTGACTGACCTCCTTGACTAAAGGAGCTTTGCTTGGAGCAGGTGGGTCTATAAACAGAAATATTTTTTAGTACTGATAAAGAAAAGTTTTCCAAACAAGGAAACGCTGTAATACTGATGCTGTTCATGTAATGCATATTTATTGTGTGTCACATTAGGCTTTGCATGAATGTAGTGTTTTATTCATAATCTGTAGGCTGATAATGTACTGCATATCAAGTTTGGTATTCTGCAATCACGAAGTTAATATTTTGGTCCTATGAATATCTTTCATTCTCAAATCTTAAAGCTTACCAGTAATGCTTGTATTACACATTTTCTGCACTGAAGGGCTTTCAGAACTATTTGAAAGAGTTGCAATAGTAACAGTATAGGTGCTGAAATAGTCTAAAGATGCTGTTCTGAAGGTTTCCTCTGAGCCTTCCCTCGTGCAGGATGGAGTCCGTTCTTCTTTTGCCCATGTACCATTAAATATTTTAATTCTGAAGCCAGAATTGTTACCAGAAGGGCATTCCCATTTCAGCATTAGAGAAGACTGCTTGGCCACTGGTTCACACTGAAATGAATTCACTAAGGCAGGAACTGAAAAAAAAAAAAAAAAAAAAAAAATAAAAGAGGAGGGAGAAATCAAGTATTCAAGTATTGCAGTAAATAGAAAAAGCTGTCTATTCGCAAGTTCTGTGTATAAACATTTTAAAAGTGGAAAAGAACCCTGAAGTTTTACAAAAGATGAAGCTACTGCCTACAGGGACTTGCTACCCTATAAGGAAGAGAAGTATTTAGCACACGAAGTACACAGACCTCTTCTGTGCTCTCTAACTCCTCTGCAGACAGGTTTATCAAGAAAATTTAGGTTGAGTATCTGTCAAGTCAGCTAAGTTTTCAAAATACTGTTCAACCACTGAACGTACTACTCTAAGAACATTTTTAGAGTAGTATGTAGATTGATGCTAACTCCCTGTATAATTACATAAAACTCTTAGTGGCCAAGAAATAAGAAAACAAATATAAGCTCTGTGCGTTAAGAGCACAGCAGTAGTCATCCTTAAGAGCAGCAACTACAGCATGTCAGTTTGTATGAGTGTCCTATAGGACACAATATAAAAATCGCAACCTTATGACCAGATATAAAAAGATATTTACGAAGTTGATGTAGCAGTAACACTGAGAAGAAAGGTCCCTCTAAACTAAACATCTTATAAAACTTGGGCCTTCAAGACCAAAGCTCTTGTAACTTCTACAATTGTAACACATGGCAAATTTATTTCCTCTTTTGATAAAGAAGTATTTAGTACTTCCAAATACTGGGGTAAGAGACTCATGGATTAAATTATTTTTATTATTTTTAATAAAAAGGGCTATTATTTTAAGAAACTAAGGAGAAGCAGAATTGTGTACCAGAAGAAACAGATTTAGTTAAAAGATAGATGTGAGTGACTGGGACTTATTTCTACTGCACTTTATAAATATTTATTTTCCTTCAGTAACACTGTCAGCCACTCCTACAAATACAGTGAAATTATAGAAGGTTCCAGGGTTTATGTCTGTAATAACAGCTCTGGTGACACTGGATGTCTGGTTTCTAGAGGAGGAACCATGACTTTGGATCTCTATCCTGTACATGTAGTTAGAAGAAGTATCATCTGTGCTCCATGGGAAAAGAACAGGAACACAGGAGTACCTCAACCTTCTTCTCTTTGCTGACAAGCTGAGCAGAGCAGCGTGGCTGAGAGCCACACAGCACAGCGCTGCCCACAGCCCAGCTGCAGCCATGGACCCCTCCAAAGGGGGAAGTTGCCCAGGCACAACGCACTCTCTGTGGGAGCCCTTCAGAATACGGGCCAAGGGCCTCATCCACATAGAGGAGAAGGCAACAAAATCCCCCAGAAAACCCCCTTCCACACATTAACATCACTGACTGCGGGTAGGCCATGTACAGCACTTCTGCCTGGAACAATATTGTATTTCAACCCTCAGGCAGGTGGGCAGAACCCTGTGCTGCACAGCAAAATACAGACAACCAGGAACAGAGCTGCAAGAAGCTGTGACTTACTTGTATACAGACTTATTGACAATCCTTCTCCTTCCGTCTGACCATCAGCCGCTACTGCAAATACTGTGAAATCATACAATGTCCCAGGGATTAGCTCGGTAATTTCTGCTTTGGTAACATTCGATGTCAGGTTCCTAACAGAGGTACCGCTCACAACCTCTATCCTGTACGTGTAGGAGTTGGAAGCAGTGTTGTTCACTGCCCATGTTAAGCTGACATTCTCAGTACCAACATAGTCTGCCTTGAGATCATGGACCGGGCTGGGCTCTGTGAAAGACAAAACAACAGTCTGTCAGACTGCAAGAACATCTGCTCACATACAGGGACAGAAGAAACACAGGCACACCACTGCTTCACTGTCTTCACATCACTCCTTGATCAGAGTGCAGGAGCACCCCGACACCACCACCAGATGCTCCTGGAAGTTTTTGCATCAATGGCTGGGTAACAGAAAAATGAGAAAGAGGCATCTCAAGTGTGATTCATCTTCTTTTCATGTTCAAAAGCAGGAGCACAAGTTCACCATGGTGCCAGCACTCCCGGGGTTTCCCCTGGCAATCTGGAGAGGTGGGCAGGAAGGAGAGAAGAATGGAGTGGAAGGAAAATGGTGGTGCATCTCTGCACAGCAAAAAGTAAAGAACATCAAATATCACTGGAGAAGGAACAGAGGTGATGACCCAGGCACCCTGCTGCTTCTCCAACCCTCATGCCCTGTGTGCCCACTCCCATGGCAGAGAGACCATCTCCAAAACCCCTCTTTCCAGCACCCTATTCTCTGTGCATCTTCAAAACAGGGCAACTAGCCATTACAGTCAGGCAACACAGGCAAGACATTTGGAAATCGACTGGAAAGGCAGTAGCACACATACAGGTACATTTCAGGACAACACAAATGACAAGAACAGGCATCTCTTCTCTTTCAAATACACCCTGTGGAATGACCAGGCTGGGCTACAGCCTTGCAGGCCAGCTCCAAAAAGGTCCTTCCAACACCACATGTCAAGACCTTTGATACTCAACACAGCAAAGTGCTGGATGGCCAAAGCAGTTCTCCTGAACTAGTGCTGCCTAAATCTCTCTCTCCTGCTGCAGCCCGATGGCAGCCACGGGCCCTCAAATTACAAAAGTTCCCCTGGCACAATATGCTCTGTGTGGGACCCCCTTAAAATAAGAGTATGAGGCCTCCATCCTCTAGGAAATGAATGCAACCCCTTTTCCCAAATTTAGGGGAAGTCCTTGGGGGGGGCGGTGGGGTGGGAAATCTCTTCTCTGCATTGCCAGTCTTGGGGACAAATTTCACCAACAGCTTTCTATAAGTGCAATGCTGCTTCTGCACTTTAACTCCCATGCTTGGCAGATTGGCCATCTCCAGGACCAAAACATCACCTCTGCCTGCAACAGTATTAAAATTACAACCCTCAGGCAGGTAGGCAGAGCCATGAGCTGCACAGCAAAATACAGACCACCAGGAACACGTGTGCAAGCAACTGTGACTCACTTGTATACAGACTTATTGACACTCCTTCTCCTTCCATCTGACCATCAGCTGCTACTGCAAATACTGTGAAATTGTACATTGTCCCAGGGATTAGCTCGGTAATTTCTGCTTTGGTGACACTGGACGTCAGGTTGCTAATAGAAGTACCATTTCCAACCTCTATCCTGTACGTGTAGGAGTTGGAAGTAGCATCATTCACCATCCATGTTAAGTTGACAGAAGTCACACCAACATATTCTGCTTTGAGATCAAGAACTGGGCTGGGCTCTGTAAAAGGCAACACAACAATCTGTCAACCTGCAAGAACATCTGCTCACATACAGGCACACCACTGCTTCACTGTCTTCACATCACCCCTTGTTCAGAGTGCAGGAACACCCCGACACCACCACCAGATGCTCCTGGAGGCTTCTGCATCAATGGACAGGTAAGAGAGAACTGAAGAAAGGTCATTCTGAGTGTGATTCATCTCCCTGTGACGCTCCAAAGCAGAAGCACAGGCCATCACACTCCGACAGATCTCCCAGGGCTTCCCTTGGGAATCCAGAGAGGTGGGCAGGAAAGAGACAGACTAGACTAGAATATTTCAGTTGGAAGGGACATACAATGATCATCTAGTCCAACTGCCTTTACCACTTCAGGGTTGACCAAAAGTTAAAGCATATAAGAGGCATTTGGACCATGCCCTCAATAAAACACTGACAGGCTTGGGGCATCATCGAACACCACTCTAGGAAGCCTGTTCCAGTGTTTTACCACCATCCCAGTAAAGAAATGCTTCCTAATGTCAAGCCTAAACCTCCCCAGCGTAGCTTTGAACCATTCCCATATGTTCTGTCACCGGATCCCACGAAGAAGAGATCAGCACCTCTCTCTCCACTTCCCCACCTCAGGAAGCCGCAGAGAGCAATGAGGTCACCCCTCAGCCTCCTCTTCTCCAATCTAGACAAACCCAAAGTCCTTAGCTACTCCTCATAAGACATGCCTTCCAGCCCTTTCACCAGCTTTGTTGCCCTCCTCTGGACGCATTCAAGGACCTTCACATCCTTCTTAAATTGTGGGGCCCGGCACTGCACACGGTATTCAAGGTGAGCCCGCACCAATGCTGAATACAGCGGGATAATCACCTCTTTTGACCAGTTGGTTATCCTGTGTTTGATGCACCCCAGGATGCCGTTTGCCCTCTTGGCTGCCAGGGCTCACTGCTGACTTGTACTGAGCCTGCTGTCAACCAGCACCCCCAGATCCCTTTCTGCAGGGCTGCTCTCCAGCCACTCCACTCCCAATTCATACTTGTGCCTGGTGTTACTCCATCCCAGGTGCAGAATCTGGCATTTGGACATGTTAAATTTCATCCCATTAACCATTGCCCAATGCTTCATTCTATCTAGATCCCTCTGTAAGGCCTTCTGTCCCTCAAGAGAATCAACAGCACCTCCCATCTTGGCATCAACAGCAAACCTGCTAATGGTGCATTCAACTCCTGCATCCAGATCGTTGATGAATATATTGAACAGCACTGGCCCTAGGATTGAACCCTGAGGAACACTGCTGGTGGCCAGTCGCCAGCCAGATGTAGCCCCATTCACTACAACCCTTTGAGCCATGCTATTCAGCCAGTTCTTCACCCAGTGCACCAGGAACCCGTTCATCCCACAGTTGGACAACTTGTCCAGAAGGATGCTGTGAGGGACAGTATCAACAGCCTTACTAAAATCCAGGAAAACTACATCCACTGCCTTCCCTTCATCCACTAGGCAGGTGACCTTATCATAGAAGAATATAAAATTAGTTAAACAGGACTTTCCCTTTGTGAACCCATGTTGACTGTGCCCGATGATTGCGCTATTCCTTAAATGTCTTTCAGTAGTACCCAGTATGATCTTCTCTGTAATTTTTCCAGGAACTGAGGTTAGACTAACAGGTCTGTAGTTTCCTGGGTCTTCCCTCACACCCTTCTTGTAAACTGGAGTAACATTGGCTAACTTCCAGCCAGCAGGGACCTCTCCAGACTCCCAAGACCTTTGGTAGATGATCGAGAGGGGTCCTGCCGTAACATCCGCTAGCTCCCTCGTTACTCTGGGATGAACCCCATCAGGCCCCATGGACTTGTGAACATTCAGCTGATACAGCTGGTCCCTTACAATTTCAGTGTCCACAAATGGAAAGTCACTGTTCCCCACACTCGTGGTCCTCCAACTCAGGAACTCAGGGGACTGAGCAACCCAAGGGACTGAAACAAAAAATGCATTGAATGGCTCCACTTTTTATTCATCCCCGTTAGTCAGATGACTATCTTCAACAAGTATTCGTGCAGTGTTTTCTTTAGACCTCCTCTTGCTATTAATGCACTTAAAAAAGCCTTTCTTGTTGTCTAACACAATACTGGCCAGTTTCAACTCTAACTGAGCTTTGGCCTTTCATGTCCTCTCCCTGCATGTATGAATGACAGCTCTATAATCTTCCTATGAAGCCTGAGCTCGCTTCCAGAGATCATACAATTTCTTTTTCCTCTTGACCTCCACAAGGAGTTCCCTGCTCTGCCAAGCTAGTTGTCTGGCCTGCTTGCTTGACTTTCAACACAGCAGAATTGCCTGTTCCTGTGCTTCTAAAAGGTGGTTCTTAAAAACTGACCAGCATTCATGGAATCCTAAGACCTCAAAATCAGATTCTCAGGGTACCCTGTCAAGTAGCTCCCTGAATAGCTTAGAATTTCCTCTCTTGAAGTCCAGGGTAGCAACTCTGCTATTTTTTTCTCATTACACTGAAAATTTTAAACTCAACAATTTAATGATCATTGTGGCCAAGACATCCCATCTCCCATGAGTCCTTCTCTACTCACAAATAGCAATTCTAGGAGGGCACCTTTCCTAGTTAACTTCTTGCCACAAGTACTTAGTGAGACAACTCCCATATGAGGAGATAAGGATGGAGGGGAAGGAAGGTGGGTTTTGTTTGGCTGGTTTTGCCTTTTTTTTTTTTTTTTTTAAAGCAGGGGTATGTTTCTTCCACACATTAAGACCCCATACTTAGTAGACCACCCAGATTAGGCTCCAGGATTAAAACATCACGCCTACACGCAACAGCCCTCAGGCAGGTAGGCAAAGCTCTGAGCTGCGCAGCAGAAAAGGGCTGCAAGAAGCTGTGACTTACTTGTATACAGACTTATTGACAATCCTTCTCCTTCCGTCTGACCATCAGCTGCTACTGCAAATACTCTGAAATCATACAATATCCCAGGGATTAACTCAGTAATTTCGACTTCGGTGACATTGGACGTCAGGTTTCTAACAGAGGTACCGCTCATAACCTCTATCCTGTACGTGTAGGAGTTGGAAGTAGCATCATTCACCATCCATGTTAAGTTGACAGAAGTCACACCAACATATTCTGCTTTGAGATCAAGAACTGGGCTGGGCTCTGTAAAAGGCAACACAACAATCTGTCAACCTGCAAGAACATCTGCTCACATACAGGGACAGAAGAAACACAGGCACACCACTGCTTCACTGTCTTCACATCACCCCTTGTTCAGAGTGCAGGAACACCCCGACACCACCACCAGATGCTCCTGGAGGCTTCTGCATCAATGGACAGGTAAGAGAGAACTGAAGAAAGGTCATTCTGAGTGCGATTCATCTCCCTGTGACGCTCCAAAGCAGAAGCACAGGCCATCACACTCTGACAGATCTCCCAGGGCTTCCCTTGGGAATCCAGAGAGGTGGGCAGGAAAGAGACATGGATGGAGGGGAACGTGGGGAAGGAAGATAATTAAAAATAAAACAAAAACATCAGGGCTATGTTTCTACTGCACACTAACATCCCATCCTTTGCATACAGCCCAGATCAGGCTCCACGAGTAAAACATCATGTCTACAGACAATAGTATTGAATTACAATCCTCGCATAGGTAGGCAAAGCCCTGAGCTGCACAGCAAAATACAGTCCACCAGAAATAGGGCTGCAAGAAACTGTGACTTACTTGTATACAGCCTTATGGACACTCCTTCTCCTTCTGTCTCATCGTCATTCGCTATTGCAAATACTGTGAAATTATACAATGTCCCAGGGGTTAACTCTGTAATTTCGGCTTTGGTGACATTGGATGTCAGGTTCCTAACAGAAGTACCACTTGCAACCTCCATCCTGTATGTGTAGGAGTTGGAAGCAGCGTTGCTCACTGCCCATGTTAAGCTGATATTCTCAGCACCAACATATTCTGCCTTGAGAGCAAGAATGGGGATGGGCTCTGTGAAAGGCAAGGAAAAAAAAACCAACATCTTTTAGCCTGCAACACTATTTGCTGACAAACACATAAAAGGAGTCTTCTCCCTGCTGTACCCAAATAACAGGTCTCTGTAAAACAGTGATCAGCCTGGGAAAATAAACAAGACATCCTTATATGTTGCAAGGCACACTTGCTAGCTCTGCAATCTACTCTAATTCCTCAAGGTTCACTTCTTCTCGAGGAATAAAACTGCCTAGGTGCAGCAGTGATTACCTGCCTCAGCTGTCAACTTCATGCAGGGTGCTGAGAGAGACCGGAATACATAACCTGGTGTTATTTTTCCTAAGCTGGCTATCCCAAAGAGATGAGCCTTTCTAGCTGCAAGATTCACATACCTCTCCTGTAGACACTTGATACAGCTCCCTCTATACTAGGTAGAGTACTTACATATGTAACAGAGTACAGCTGATTTCAAAGCTGTATGTCACAGTATGTTTGGACTGCTGCAGCTGCAACCTAAAAAGCCATAATAAGCAGAGAAGGGAGCCCAAGCCTAACAGTGATAAAACTATTTCAAGGCCACGTGCCAATCACAGCATTAAACTGAACTCCCAGTCAGCTGTGCAAATATAGTTCTTTGGCTCATTCTCTACTCCAGTAAAGCAGTTGGATCTGCACCCCTGCAATGCTCTTTGCACTCTGGACTAGAGTTCAGGCTTAAAATGCTAATGCAGTATAAAAGCACAGAACACCCTGAAGATTCACATCCCAGTCACGTTCCAAACCACTTACGTGTTACATTGTTCCGATCACCTATTGCCCTGTCAGATAGTGACACATCCCTGGTCGATCTTCCACCTCCATAGGTTTTGTTCCCACTTGCAGAGTTTACTAATAAATTATCATTACTACTGGTTCCTGTTTCTGCAGTTACATTGTTTGAGCTGCAATCCTCAGTGCCTGAAAGAAAGAATACAAAGCAGTAAGTATCTTTACAAAACTTCTGGGTTTCCCATTTGGAAAAGTATAGGCATTTATAGATACCATCCACAGACCTGCAGTCAATTCTGTTTTCCCAGTTTGTTCTCCTACAGACATTTCACTGCACATTTCCTGGTTTTACCACTTTTAACTTCTGTGCGACAATTTGAATTAGATTAAGAGATTGCCGCATTAGTTTCGTCATTCACGACTCTGCTCGTGGTTTGGATGAAAGACACCATGATCTGCTCCTTTTTTCAGTGCAGTTTTGTTTGAAAATAATTGAACAAACTTGCAGCCACATTCTGTGTGTGCATTTTTCTGATGTATTATCAGAAGCTAGCTGCTTTACTTAACCTGGCATAGCAATTCAATTTTATCTCTTCCCCTCACTGTATGAGAAAAAAGTTCTCATATTCCCACAGTGTGTTCCCACAAGTAAAGAAGAGACATGGCACACCTACAGAAAGCAACTTTAGGTTGATGCAGCGCAGCCTAAAGTGTGGAGAGAGTTGATTCAGGCCCTAAAATTTAAAGGCTAACTCATGCAAGTCTGATGTTCAATAGTAAGGTAGAACTCATCTGCAAGTACTTTTGGAAATTTCTGCCACATGAAAACTCGTCAGCTTGGCAAGTACAGCAGTTGCTATGCTCACTTCAGAAAATTCTTAAAGCTTCACTTTGGGGTTGTCTTTTGTTTGGGGTTTGTTTTGTATTGCCTTTAAGTATATTTTCCAGTCTTTCTAAACATATTATATCTGTACTTGATTTTACCAGAACTCTTTACAAACTGAAAAGCAAAGGGATTAAAGTACACATTTGTATATTTAAATATCCTTAAATGCATTGCAGAAATCACAGTGACTAAAACAAGTGAGCTTACATTTTTGAATGCTATTTCAAAAAATTCTTTTTAGGAAGTTTTTTTTTTTTTGAATACTTACCTAATATTGTTTGACCTTTCTTAAAAGAAACTAAGATAATGAGAGTTACTTAAAAAAAAAAATTAAGAACAGAATGATACTTACAGGCAATTGTACATCTGACCTGGAAAACAAAAATAAGTAATAGAAATTAAAGCTTTAAAACTACCAGAAGCTCAAATAAAATAAGGACTGGTTTAATTAACACACAGGGGGTGAGGGAAGCAGGGTGGAAGGAATCAGTTAAAAAAAAAAAAAAAGAAACACAAAAATTCCAGATTTTTCAACCTGCAAAGGAGATACCCCAAAATCTACTGACATAAAAATAACACCAAAACTATACCAAACTATTAGAGAAAAAACCCAAACATGCTGGTAAAATGTTAGTTTCCACTTTTTTTTTTTTTTTAAACAGTTTATTTTTTCACAAAACCAGCTTGCATAACCTATGCTGCTTGTTTGGCACATATAAATTTAAAAACAAAACCTACAAGATCTTAGTCAAAAGACACTTTAGTTAGTACCTTTGACATCATCCCACAAAAACCAGCAGATGTGAATTAGGTCTTTTTCATGCATAAGATTTTTCCTTTCATCCTAATGCTGTATAAACTTTCTTATTACTTCTCACAAAAGAATATTTTGCATTTTCTGAAACAAACTCAGTGTAGCTGAAGTTCAAAACGCTTAGTATATATTCTCATCTAGTTTATGTATGTGTACATATCCATAAAAGTATCATCAGTTGCCATTTAACTGCAGCCTGAAACTACTCTGCTAGTAATACTGACAAGCACACCAGAATTTTCCTTTGAAAACGTGTTTTAGTCTTTCAACTTCATGCTTTTACTTCTGAATAAGCCATTTCCATTCCCGTTAATTTACAGGCCAGTTTGCCTACAGTTTTCTTCATCTCCCTCCAGGTGGCAGCACAAAACGCTCCTAAAAGAGTGAAATAAAAGCCCCAGGGGTAGGTCTGCAGGGGCTTGAGAGGAAAATCCCGATTTCCCGGGACTTTTGTAGCCCGCTGATGCCACTCAACTGCAGCAGCCACTTTTGTCACGTAACAAACAGATTACTCCAGCAATTGCATCGAGGATTAAATATCACTATTCACCTTGCAAAGCTACAGGACCAGGGAAAAACAAGCATGCAGAGATACATGTCCCAAGGACAGGCAGATCCCCAGTGTGGTGCTGGGGGTCCACAGGTCACAGTGCCTTATGCCAGGGAGGCTTGCGGGCATGGGGCGTTTCTGCCCATGCACCTCTGGATCTGTTTTTGGCATCACTGTAGGTGCAGGCAGAGGCAGTCTCCAGCCCCAGTGACTCTAATATCACCTGCAGAACAGCTACTCTTTTGGTTGGACTGCTTCTAGAAAATCCAGCTTAGCTTCATGCCAGATGGTGCATTACCCACACAAAGCGCCAAGCCTGCTGACTGCAGAGGTTGACACATTTATATAAAGAACTTGAAATTGTCTCATTTTCTCTTTCCACCCTGTTTTCTTAGACAGTTTCTTAGCTGCTTCTGCAATTCCACGAGCTAACTCAAAATAAGCAGCTATATCACAACAACACAACGCAAAGCTTGAATCCCAAATCACTCATCCCCCAGCTCTCGTGTTGCTGGTGCCACAAGTAGCTCCATCAGCAGTAGCTCCCTGCATCACAGTCATGGGCCCAAGCACACACACCCTCAAAAAGTAGTCAGTAGATACCATTAAATCTTGTTCTCCATATGAGAGACTACAAAAAGCACTCTCTCCACAAAGATGAGGCAGGCCAGCTGCTGAGAAGCAACACTAGAAGCAACCCCTCCAGCTTTACAGAAAGGAGAAATGCAGCAGAAGCAAACTTCAAGTGGAGGGACCCCCTTCCAGCCTGTGATGGTCTCAGTGCCACAGCAGGAAGAGTTTGGGCACACTTCCCAGGCAAAAGAGCACTTGTAAGCATCAAAGAACGCATGCCTGGTCTTCTCTAGCACAGCCCTCAAATCAGCACCCAAAGGACATTACTTGGGACGCAGATGTCCTATGTACAAGCTTGAGGCTCCTCCTCAACTTTTCCAAATATTTGAGAGCCCAGCCAAACTGCAAGGCTATTAGGAAGTGCAGAAACATTCGTCTGCACTCAGGTCAAGAGCCCTTCTGTATTCCTTCACAAAGAAGTGGCCAAGGAAGAAGAGACTACAAAGGGAAAAGCCACTCTTAAGGCAGGAAAACACTACTGTGCAGCATTCAGAGTAGAAGCACTAAGCTATATGGCAACAGCTGCTGAATGATGAGCAAGAGGTGAGATTGCCTGAAAAGCTGGGCAATCTAAAAGCAAAACCAAAAAGACGCTATATTTAATAAGAAGGGGAAATAGCAAAAAGAAGAACAAAAAACAACAACAAGAAACACCACAGGACTAAGTCACAGTGATTTCTGCAGCCCTACAGATAAAAGAGCAAATGCCTAACATCATTCACAACCTGTCCTTCAGTTACTTTCTCTTCTGTAAAACTGCCTGAAGATGACAAAGTTTCTCATCTCCTTCTTCCCAGATTTTGAGTTCAGGGGCACAGCATCCTTCCTGAGCAACAGGAACAACAGACATCATATGACTGAGAAACAGGTATGCCACTACCAAGTCCCCTTCACTCCTGCTTCTCACCTCCCCATTTCTCCCCTGCCAGCTCAAGCAAGAAGCATGTCAATTCCCGTTTTACCCCCAGCTAGGGCAATCTGATCCAACAGCAAATTATCACCAAGCTGCTAGAAACTTGGTTGTACTGTCACACGTGGGTTTTCTTAATGATGCTCAAATAACTAAAGGAAAGTTGTGCTAAAACTCCTGTCACATGCTGAATGAACAGCTTACCATCATTTTACTACTTGTTGCCAATCACACACATTGGCAATACCCCCTCTCACAATACCCTTCTGACTTCCCAGAGCCCTATGTGCAAACCAAACTCAAAAAAAGCACCATCCCGTTGGCAGCAGGCAGGCCTCTTTCTGAAATCCAAAACCACACAAAACAAATGATCCCATTCCCAAGCGTCAGCTTCCCTGACTCAGTCATTCCATGCTGTATTTCTCAACACAAGCCACAAACTGAACTGTTCTCCAGCCTTATGTTATTACTTAATGAGATGCTATTTATACAAAACATTTGTTTATTATTTCAGATTATATTTGCACTGAACACCTGATTCTCCTTGTGTTTGCATCTAATATATAAGGAGCCCTGCCATCTCTGCTTTTCTTTTCAATGACATGAATCCCTACTATTAATGTATAGAGTTAGGTATTTTTTTAACCAAAAAACCTGGAACTTGGGGTAAGGGTGGAACATCCATCCCCAAGAAAATAAAAGACAGCAAAATGCTAAAGACTAAACATTTCAACTGAACAGGAGAGATGCGTATGCACAAATTCATCACTGTTATCACCTATGGCAAATGCCTGATCAAAGGCTGTACCTTCCAGAGGAGCTGAATAATTCATCTGCACTCGCGCAAGGTCTGTCCTGCACTCCTTCTGTGTGCAGTTTATTATTGACCAGGAGTTGGTGGTGCGTAAGAGATGCAGGATTCAGCTCCAACCTCCTCAAGCGTACAGCGGGTCGCCTAATTAAGGAATTACTATTATTATTAGTCTCACAGGCAATCTTATCAAGGAAGAAATAAGATGTACTGCAAGAAGACATGTTCAAAAACACTAAGTGACTGAGAAGCCCAAGTTCCACTGATATTTGATAGTCTTAAGTCTAAGCCTTAAGATATTTTCAGGAGCAGGATTTAAAACATGCCTGCTGTACACATGCATCGGGGGAGCCACGGGAGCTGGTCAGCAGAGGGGAAGACAGTCGTGCTTCCTCTTCTGCTGGCCGCAAGAGTTTAGATCAGCTTGGCTCTGCTGCCAAACTGTACCCTCTAATAATGTTAGGGTTCCTGCACTGGGGGGAAAACCCTTGTGAACAGCAGCCCACCTGCCTGGGGTGCTCCAGTTTCCAAAACAAACAACGTGGTTTGGTTCACATAAATCAAGGTTAAGAAGCTGGCTAAATAGTCAAAGTAAGCAAACCAAAAAATCCTAACCAAAAAAAACCCCTTAGCCACAAATCCTTTCTGAGAACACTACTTGAGGCTGCTGCTTACTCTTTCTTGTGTGCTCACCAATGTGTGCCTTATGACTCAGATGTAAAAAAGCCAGGAAATTAATCACACCCCTCTCAAAGCTAACTATCTTTCACATGTGTACCTTCAGATCCTCTCTTCTCCACCCACACATCCTCTCAGGTTTGGAGGAGTTCCACAAAGTACTACAAGCTATCAGTGCTCTCCAAATTCTTTCTCAACATCCTTTCACAAAAGCAACAGCATCATCACTGCCCCAGTAACCGTGGTCTCACTTCCTTCTTTTTTTCTGCTATGCCCACCTACCATTAGTTGTCCCACATCCATAACTATGGGCTTTAGGGCAAGCCACCACACTGCAACCATCATGATGGTTTTCAGACTCCAGGCTTGGCTTAGCTGATGTGATCAGTCATCACCGCTCAGCTGACAAACATTAACCAGCAAAGACCCAGTAACTTGGCCACTTGCAGACCGCTCTGTCACCTCTGATATTTCATACATAGCATAGGTTTATTCAGAAAGCATTCCCACAGAATGGTTTTACTCAAGGTCACACAAAGTAAGTGAAAATTAAACCCTGGAATACCACTGGGAAACCCCACAATAATGGAAGTGGGATTGCCCAAGTATTGCATCCACAAACTGATACAGCTTTCCAGTACTTGCTGATTTTCTAGGATTTGTAAGGCACTGACTGCTGTTCCAGCTGTGGACATCTTCCCACATCCCTGGGAGTGTAAAGTCTAACTCAGCAGGGAGTGACACCTTCCTGCAGGAGACAACAGTCTCGGAGACAGGATGGGGTTTGGAAAGGTGTGACATTTCTGACTCTTGCAACCCATCTCAGGGCTGTTTCACCTAATTCATTTCCACATTATGTCCAAATTCACAAAGTTTGTAGGCTTACAGCACCAGGCAAGAAAAGTGAGATCACCTGAACTGTGGCATAAAACTATGTGCCTAAACCTGTATGAGCCTAGTTCAAGTAACATGCCTTACTTTGGCAATTTCTGGGTTTTGGGGTGAAAAATGAGCTAAAATATCCTTATGTAATTTTTTGCCCTATTTTCTAATTTCTTCCTAAAATGTAAGTCTACATTCTGCAAAGCATTTCTCTGCATTTAAACAAACAACTTCTAAGCACAAATCATCATACTGTTACACTATTGTAAAATGCATAGAAATTCATATGCAATTGAAGATATGCCAAGCCAAGAAAAGCAAGTGTTTTCCCCTATGCTTATTGTATGAGAAGAAAAAAAGACAATCTAGATTAAGCCTGTGTGCTGTAGATTTGCTCCAAGCTACACTAACAGTTCAGTTACCAATTTCAGTGGCATTTGTGAATACTCAGCCCTCCTCTCATCAGGTCCTTACTACTTGAAGGAGGAAATAGTCAACATGAGGCTAAGTCAGAAGCTAACATTCAATTATGTTATATAGTTTCATTTAAGACTGATTGCTTTCTGGATTTGGTGCTGGGTTTGTGGTTTTGGGGGTTTTTTTGTTTGGCTGGTTAGTTGGGGTTTTTTTCCTTTTCCAGTGTATATTTACTGTGCTAAATTCATTTTAACTGTAACCCACAACAGGTTTTTTTATTCAAATTAACTCTAGATGGTCTCAATAATATGACACATTCACCTCCAATGAAAAACTGAAAATACGCTGCAGCAAACGTCAGCTCCACATGCTGTCCCTTCTGGTATGTTAGGCAGGCACTCACAGCCCATCCACAAAACACCATTTCACAGAATATTTGGTTTAAGTGGGTTTATCCTGGGGGGGGGGGCTCTAATTTTAGAAACAGTGCACTAAGTTTTTGCAAGATCTTTGGAGTCTTCTCTTCTTTTAACCCTAAATGAGCAGCTCCACTAATGAGAATGCATGGGACCAGATGGATATCCAGAACCCAGAAGAAAGAAACATGAGCTGAAATTTGTTATTAATTGGGTAGGGCTGGACGCTCTTAGGACACCATGTTGTATTAGGAAGCTATGCAAAATCCTAAAGCAGTTGACAGCCATACACAACTATGCACAGGCTATTTTGAGCTATTACACAGTTATGTGAAAGAGGAAAGACTATTTCCACTTTGCATGTATTTGTATTTTACCCCTGACATTTCTAAATTCTGTCTTCCCTGAAGCAAGCTTTTCTCCAAAGAGAGACCAAATATCATTTTTTCCACTGGCTTTTATGAAAACAGATGAGGAGATTCTAGTTTGTGTAGCATCTCCAGTGAACTAAAAATGTTGTGGAAGACAAAGCCTTGTAGGAAAGGCAAGATGAGACACCGAATGAGAATTTGTGTTGAAACACACTGGAGAAAGTTCTTTCTTCCTCTCCTGATTTTTCTCCAAATTTTACCTGCTATCTGCTTCTCAGATGGCTAGCCTAGGAGCAAGCAGTTTTCTGGGTAACATATCCAAAATAAAGGGAAAAATATAGAACAGATCTCATCTGAATTGTACCTGTTAGATCTGTTTTCCCTTCCTCAGTCCTACCTTCAAGAAAAGCTTTCTCGGGCAAGTTTTCCTGTGGTTTGGTAAAAGGAAGTTATTCACCTACCTGTGCACATACAAAACAAACAAGCAACAGAAATACCCAAGACCAAGCAGCACAGATTTTGGTATGAGACAGGCTGACAAAAGGCCCAGACACCAAACACAACTGCATCACAACTGATAGCTCTCTCACTGCTGACCCTAGGAAGCACCATTAGACTTCTTTCCAATGGCTTCCACATCAAACATCAGTTTAAAACTTCTCCATGCAACCCAGTAGTTCTTCATTGCTTCCCCCAAACCTGCAGGTCCTGATGAACTACAGGCAGCAGCTGCTGCAAACCATCTCACAGTTCACTAGCATTCCTCCAAGCATCCTGCAATCTTCCAACTGAGAAAACAAAACTTCATCCCAGAGAAAGGCTGAGAAGTTGCAACGAGTTTAAATTATTCACATAACCCAGTAAGTCCTACATGTAATGTCTCTTCAGAGACGACCCTGCTGAAGGAGTTTACAAAGAGAACAGTGTGCTTATTTGGCAATGGCAATAAGCAATATTTAAAACAATTACTTATTAAAACCCAAATTGTTATCCTACTCGAGCTGCACATCATACCGACATCGCCAGAACTGCAGCTGGGTGTGTAATGAGCAATGCCTGAACTGAAAAACCTCCTCTTTTAACAAGAATTTCAGTTAACATTGCCAGTCATTTTCTTTCAAAACTAAGAAAGCATCAACCTTTATTTCATGTGAACGAGGCGTATTCCTGCACGTAGCCTAACAGCACTATTTTTTCACTCTGAGTCAATACTCCGGCACACCCTGGAAGAAGGATATAATGAAAAAAAGAAGAAAAAAGAAAAAGAGAAAAAAAAAATACTCCTGTGGCAATGACACAATGCTCACTGTCCCCAAATCAGCAGGGCTGGCCACCCAGGCAACATGGAAAATGTACAGCAGGGCCAGCAGCCGCCTGGCCTTTGCAGTGCAGTCATGAAAATGAGGGGCATTTCCTGACAGGGCCCTACTTCAGATCTGCTTAGCTGAGAGCAATTGAGACTCTCAAGTTTCTCTCTTATCATAAGTAGATTTCACTTTCCTGAGCTGGACACTTTAGAGTCTACGTAGTCTTTGCTCAGGAAAGTGTTAAAAGATACTTCACAAGGAGGACAACATTGAGCTGGATTTGGGTTGAGAGTTTTCCAAGTAAAACTAGCTGTAAAGGGATTTTAAAACTTACACAAAAGCTCAAATACAACATCAAGAAAGATGATTTATACTGAAAATAAAGACAGAATTTTTTATCTATGACACCCTGTCTGGGGGCAGGCCAGGAGAACCATGGCCTGTGAAAACCATCAGCTTGCTCACACAGAGCTCCAAACTGTTTTGCTAGACAGAAAATCTTTTTTTTTTGTGGCAGGCTTGATGCTGGTACCTGAAGGGCTTGTTGTTTCCTGCCTTACTTCTATACTTTTCTTAGGACAGTTTATCTTTTTGCCCTTACCAGGATCCTGAAAACTTCCTAACTTAAAAAGCAATGAGGTGTGTAGCTAGGAGAAACCAGCCCGTGACCACTGCCCAACACAGAGACCTCTCAGGCTAACCTTCATCTCCTCCTTCACGCTCTGTTACTGTTTATTACCATCTATTTATGCTCCTTCAGCACGTTCAGTTCTAACTCCATGTAAAATGCTCCACTAGAATCCAAATAAATTATCTGTACAGTACTGCCCTTGCCCCGTAGCTGGGTAAATCTACCCAAAGGGAGGGAGGAAATCAATCCTTCCTCAGAGTGCCTAACAGCAGCTCTGGTTTGGTAATGCAGTCTTGAGACCACTAGAGGCCCCAATAAAACCATCAAACTTCAGCCCGAGTGACTAACAGCAGTGAAATATGCCTAGATTCCCATAAAAGTTGACATATTCTGGAAAGTACAAGGCTAAGGATGACCACGCTAGGGTGTAAGGGGTGGATGTAGATGTAAACGCCAGCTCAGATGCAGCTTGTGGGAGCAAATGACACCATGCCGAGCAGGCTGAGGCAGGCTCCATGCAACTTCAAGCATCACTAACCTGTCACAAGGGAAGCAATTTTATACAATAAATTACTGGCTGGACCTTAGAATTTCTTCATGGCGCTTATTTACTGCATCTCACATCTTCAGCTGCACTGTTTTGTATTGAATCTACATTTTTTTGATGGGCCCTAAAACCAAAGTAGCATTTCATCAACTTCTTCAAAGCAAACGCAAATTGCCTTATAGCAAAAAACATGGTGCTAAACCTTTTTCAACTCTAAAATAAGTCAGAGATCTGGCTGATCTACAAGGATTGCATTATCACAAACACAAACAATTCGATTCAACAATGTTTTCCCATATGCTGTTTTCACATGCAGCAACATGGGGCTGGGGGGACACCCTTGAGGTTTGCCTTCAACTGTCAGCCCATATAATCCTTTAATGAATTTAAACTGTAGCAAAAGACAAATAGACCGCAAGCGTTCAAAACACGTAGTAGTACTCCTAGGAGGGAACAAAAGATCTCATTGTACGGCTCCAGTAAGCTCATCTAGGGCTCTGGTAGAGTCTCCCTTTTCCTCCTCTTTGAACAGAAGCTGAATAGAAACAGGAATGAGAATTGGCTCTGTCATCACCCCATTGCCAGTCTTGCCTCTATGCATACATTGAGGCTGCACGAGAAGTTATTCACTGACAATGACATGGTCTCTCTCTCACTTACCAGTCAATAGACATGTCTATCAAAGGTCAACTTCATGGCCATCTGGTAAGACCAGCTATGGTGGAAAAAGGCTGGATGATGCAGGGTCAGAACCGGAGATCAAACTGACACGGCAGCCTGACCAGCTGCAAACTTTTTATTCTAGAAAAATAATATCCATGGCTTCTTTCTCCTTCCAAGATACATGGAGTTCCTGCTGATCTTTGTGTTTGGTTTAGCTCCGATACAGATCAAATAGCTAGTAGCTCATTTCAAACTCTTATATTTAAGAGGAAGGTATGTTTATGTTATTCATTATGAGTCTCAAAACATGTTCATTTGAAATAAATTGCATGTTGTATCACTGTGAAGTGTTTGCTTAACCTTGTACATCACTTGAAAAAAGAAACAGAGGAAGCTTTTAAAACTAAGAGTGAATTTTTACAACATTTTGGTCATTGTTTGCTTAGAGCAATAATACCACTCATATGGCTTCCCACAGCCTTCGCTATTTCCGTACAATTATGGATTTTCTGCTACCTATATCACCAGAATACAAAAGCACACCTCTTTCCGTTGCATGGTCTTAACAGACAAATCCAAAGTTTTCAAAAAAGATTACTGAAAACAACCTTTAAAAAAATGCAATTTTTAAAATTTACCGAATTTCATCCCAACTGGTTATATATATCACCACTAAGTGGATATCCACTACCAGCAAGTTTAATGATGAAGCACAATCATTTCAATCAGAAATTCACCTTCCACTTGATGATGGTTCTTGCAAATTTTAAAAACACAAGAGTTTAAAAAGAAAGTTTATATAAAAGTTCTGTTTCCAAAGGCGCATATATATATATATATTTTATACAGGCAGCCTTCTGTTTAACAGATTGCCTTGGCAAAGTATTTTAAAAGCACTTTGAAGATTTATTAGAAATAGTAATGCACTATTAGGAATAATTTTGTCACACAGGCGTCCACAACAGTTGACAGTGTTACCCCTAATAGAAAACCAGAAAGGGGCAGCAGCAAGCGCAGTACCAACCTCCAAGCACTTTGGCAGGATCTCACTTTGGCAGTCTGCAGTAGCAACTATTTCCTCAACTGTGGCTGAAAAAACTGAGGTATTAAAAAGAACTAATACTAGTCAGGCACCAACACTGCAGAAGAGATTGGGGGTAGGGGAAGGCTTCATCAATATCTCTGTTTTTCCTATCTATGTTATTAACCCATTTAGTCAAATTATTTTTTAAAAAGTATATTTGGTCAGTTAGAAATTCAAGTCTAGTGATGTCCCCCAGATATGCTCAATGTATTTTAGACAAGCCTCTCAATACCTATATACGAAATGGTAGGATGAAATAAGAGTAGCAGGTACTAGAATCAAATCGCAACTCCTCATCCTCCTGCTTCATTTTTGTTCTATCTTCAACAACACCTAAACAGTTCCTTCAATTAATTAATCTTTGACTCAAACTGAAAGTCACAAGAGTAGATCTGATTTTATTTCACCCAGATTATGCGTTCCATGTCTTTGAAACATTAGATGTATTCTCTTTTGCTCTTCTGTCCTCAACAAACCACAAACACAGAAACTGAAAAACACCACTACCTGAAGCTTTCCAACCTTGAGTTAAGCTGTAAAAACAGTTTCCTTGCATCACCACAAAATGCCTTGGAAGCCTAGAAGGACAAGAACTTTATGACTTATATACATACAGGTTTATATGGATTTCATGTGTTAAAGATGAAACAATGCCTACAATAAACAGTAGCAAAGCATTTCCAACCAAGAGAATAACAAATGGTAGTAAAACGTTTCCATATCAGAGACATTTCTTTTTGGCCTGACATTTAGTGTTTAATTTTTTATACTTTGCAATAGCTAAAGTACAACATCTCTATCATTTTCAGGGAGGAAACAAGGACATACCCAAAACCAGCTACAGCACAATCACTCCTATTATTTATTTGCTTTTAAACAAAACAAAAATACAGGTAAGGGTATGAAAAATAATGCTCAAATATTGCATTAAAGCATACCTAGGCCACAAATGGGATTTTGATTGATCTGTTAAAAATATACTTCTAAACTTTCTCATCTGCATGTTTAAGGCTGACAAGTACCAAAGCTTTGAATAGAAAAACCCACGTAAATGTGTCTGTACATTTGGAGTAGGAGCTATGGAGAAGGGCAGAGGAGAAAGCCTTCAGTTCACTGTGATGCATTTCACCATGCATACACGGGGCAAAGCTTCATCTTCCCACTCAAATACTAAAGCCACATTGAACTAACATTAAGACAAAGATGAAACTAAGTCTTCCATGCCTGCATCATATTTTATGTGCATGTCACAGAATGCCAAGTAACTTACTGTACTTGCTCATGTAACAGCCAAATCTCCCCCAGATTAGGGGGAAAACATACATATTTGTAACTGTCTATAAACTGCTGCTTGCCAACAATAAAGCAGCAATATAAAACAGGAGTTACACAAACCTTAAGCAGTCTGCACTACACTGGTGGGTGGGATCTTCCTAGGTCTTTAAAGTTTAGCACATGAAAAAACCCCAAAAATGTGAGAAGTCAGGGTGCTGAGTCAGAAGTCAAAGCCTTCTACCAGATGACATAAATAATTGAACTTTGCTACCTGCCACGTGGCTGTTCACCTGCATGAAATGTGCAGGTAGGGGAGAGAGAGAGGAGTGAAGAGGAAGTTAATTGCATTCCAGCTGCTAAAACCTCATTATCTTGTACCTTTTAATTGATGTGGTTGTGCAGACTTCCACACTGCCTTCCCTGAACTGCTCCCTTAATGGCCTCATGCTCCTTCCCCATCTTCCAGTAAGGGTTAAACCAAGAGTGATTCACAAGCTGGATTCCTTTGCACCT